TTTACCAAACCAATGCAAGACAGACCAGCTTTGTTCATTGAATTAATCCAAAGGCATAATCACAATGTATGTATCGTTATTGTTATAAAGAGGATTTAATATAATATTAATCAATAATAGCCTGCTTCTGTGTTGGCGCTAGAGTATAGATTATTGTTTCTAGCCCTCATAGATTTCTCTTCCTTCCATGGAAGTTAAATGTATGATCTGGGATGCCTGTGGCTTTATATACCCCCAATAGCCGACTTGCGAATTTTGCCTCAGTAGTCACACACAAAGGAATGAAAACACAATAGTTTTTCACAATAGTTTTTCACAATTTACTKGGGTTTACGCACGGCGCCTCGTCTTGACCTGTGTAGTAATATACTCCACGTCTCTCGGGTAGGACAAACGTTTATAGGGAAGTTGCTCGGCACACGTCCCATTGTAATCARAGGTATCATTTATTGTCATTTTGTAGGGTTTCGGTGTTGGCAACGTCAAATCTCTATTTGAGGCTATTGAAGCAGATCAAGCAGAACGTGGCAACTTGTACTGACTTAAAGAACATCTTCCTTTTTTGTTTATAATAAGGAAATAATAAATTCTTCATTCATTTCAAATTTGCTGGACAGATGTATAACGCTGACCACCTCGAGATAAAGTCTCGCCCGCTCTGTTTGATTAACGGAAGAGAATCGACCGCGATTTTTATGCGAGGGCGTATAGTTTTGAAATCGGTGGTAAACTAGATTTATTTGTAACAGGATCTAATGTTTAAAAGTAATCAGTTGATGGATGTCTTTTAGTTATAATGTAATGCAGAAAAATAAATGAAACATAATCATGGTTATTTGTTACTTAATATCAGAAGTACTTCTGCACTTATTTAATTTGATAATGATAAAATCGATTAACAGAATACAACATAAATGAAATAATGTTGATTTAACTGAGGGAGGAATACCGTTGTGGCCAGAAAANCCTCTCACCGCTGTGGTCCGGGTTCGATTCCTGGGCACGGACCATATGTGAGTTTGAGTTTGTTTGATGTGTTGTTCTCTCCCTTGCCACGAGGGTTTTTCTCCGGGTCCTCCGGTTTTCCTCCCTCAGTAAAAAT